CTGAGCTTGTTTCTGTTGTTGTTGGTGCCGTCAAGTTCAGTAGGACTCACAGGGACCCAGTGAACAAAAGACCTGAATCCTGTCCAGTGCCGTGCTGTCCTGAATGTCTCTGATACACTATCTCTGATACACTTGAGCCCACTGCTGCAGTCACCGTGTCAATCTTCCACTCTTTTGCCGACCACCTTTCCAAGGAACAGCCTCTGCTAGGAACATGTCCCAAACGTGTTTCTGTTGGCTTCCTCCAAAGGACAGTAAATGTTCATTGCTTAAATAATTTTGGATATTGAATTTCTCCAGTTTGTGATACTTTCTTCCTGATGTTGCTCCTGGGTTTCTTAGGAGACAGACCTGGACCTCGAGATCCCCAGGTCCTGAGCAGGGAGGGGTGGGCTGTCTGAGACCCTCACATGCTTGTCAGTCATTCATTATTACCAAGGCTCTTTGATGCCAATCCCCCACTGGCAAGGGACCTCTTCTTCCCTGAATCTTGGGGTACCATTCGTTGACTGTTCTTTGTATTCCCTATGCTGTGGGAGGCCCTGACTTTGGTAAGTCCTCTATTTCACAAGTATAATTACAGCAGAATATCTCACTTTCAAAAGTGAACTGAAAAGTTTAAATAACTGCTTCAGGCCTTTAGTATTTGTTGAACAGTGACAAACACCACAAAGCTGTTCACTTATATTAAGTGCATATAAATAAAAAGGAGCAGTAAAAGCTGAAACAAGTGGTGTTGTGCAAGCCTCTGCCACAGTCAAGCCTTCTCACGTCTTCACCCTCCAGGGCTACCAAGAGGGCGGAGCAGGTCGGACTTGATCCCAAAGTGGCCACGCAGGAGACTCCCTTGGTCCCTAGCCACCTTCTGCTTTTATGTTGTTTCAACTTCTTGGATGAGTCAAAGCTTTTCCTTCCAGGACAGTTGTTCTAGCAGTGGCCCCACTACCTGAGCCTCCTTAGCTTGGAGGGGTGTGCTACCCGAGATACAGTTCCTGGGGCCCTGCTGCTTCTCTGCTTGACTCGCGGAGGCACGCTGGGGGCCTTTTGTGACACCGGGTCTCTCCCAGATCCTGCTCTGTTGAGAAGCATCCTTTCCCTGTCTGTCTGTCTCTCTCTTTCACACACGTACTCCCTCCACCTACAGAGAGGACTGTTGGATGCTGTCACTGCAGCACAGACGCCTCTTGTCCTTGTGTGTAGAACAGCAGAAAACGGTTCTGTAGCATGTTGAGGATCGTTGGTGTGTACGAGTCTGTGTGTGGGGGTGCATATGTGTTGAACACACGTGTGTGCATGTTCTCACTGTCCATTTCTGGAAGACATTAACAACTGACTGTGGACAGTTATGCCGAGCAGATAGGTCTTGCTTCTTCACTGGGTTTTTATAGGTGATTTAGACAGCCCTGGTGGCATAGTGCATTCTATATTAGACTGCAAACCCAGCAGTTGGTGGTTCGGATGCTCCAGTTTTGTGAAAGAAAGATGGGTAATTTCTTCCCATAAAGATTTACAGCCTCAGAAATCCAGTGGAGGGTTGACATGAGCCAGGATACACTTGGTCTTATTGGCGCTGGGGGCACAGTTGCTGATATGTTCGGCTGTCACTGCTGCCATTCTGAGGAAAAGAGGAGAAAGATGAGGCCGCCGGCAGCTTCCATAGAGATGCAAGGTCTGAGAAGCCCATGGGCAGTTCTGGTCTGTGCAGTAGTGTCCCTCGGAATCAGAACTGACTCGAAGGCAGTGGCTTTGGGGGTGGAAAAGCGGAAAAGGGTATTTATTACCAAAAGAGTAGAATATCAGAGAGTAAATTAACACCTTACTGTTGGAGAAAGATTCTATTATATTTTCTAAAAGGAAATTTAATATGATCTGTGTAAGTTTTAAAATCTTACTGTGGTAGAATATAAATTTACCAAAACCTTTGTATTTTTACATTTGCATTAATGCATTATGAAGCATTAATTACACTCTCTGTGTGATTTTAATCATCACCACTATCCATTTCCACAGCTTTCCTGATAAAAACTCTGCTGTTGTTAGTTGCTGCACAGTCTCTTCTGACTTTGACCATGACCTTGTATAGTGAATGAAATGTAGACCTTGTATCATCTTGTAATTTTCCTCATGTTTGAGTCCTTTGATAGAGATTTTGTGCTGTCTGCCTCATTAAGGATCACCCTCATTTTTTGCTGACCTCTGACTTCTCTGGCATGTCTATCTCTAGTGATTGATCTTTTCTGATGACATGTCCAAAATAAGGGAGCTCTGGTGGTGACGTCTGGAGAGATTGTTGATGCTAAGTAAAGGCCAAGCCTTCTTTGGCAGAGTTCTGGTGGCCTAGCAGGTAAGGAGTTGTGAGATCAATCCAAAGTCCAGTAGTTCAAATCTACCAGCTGCTTCATGGAAGATAGATGGACAGTCTCCTCTGTATGCATTACAGCCACTGAAAACCCACTGGAGGGTCAATTATGAGTTAGTTCATACTCAGTGACAATGAGTGTCCAAATTAAGCAAACCTACCTGACAGCACTTAACAACCACATAGAGCTCAGTTGGCCTAGTGGGCAGTGAGTGATGCTACCAAGCTAAAGGTGGGTGATTTTAATCTGCGGTTCTTGGGCCTGGTTTTACTTGTTTTTGGTCAAACATTGTTCTAAGTTGTGTAGTCTGATCTGTCCGTTTGCTGTACAGAGGTAACTCGTGGTTGCTGTGATGCTAAACACTGTGACACTGATGTGTCAAATGCGATAATGGCCACCTATGGTGGGCAGTATTTGGTGGAGCTCCCCGATTAAAACAAGCTTGGAAGAAGGAGTGGCATCCACTTCTGAAATAGCTTGCCTCTGGAAACCCAATGAACTTGGAGAAATCATTAAAGTTATATAAGTGCTCAGATCTTTCATTCGTAGGGTCACTATGAATCATCTATGACTCAATGGCACTTAATAACAGCAACAAACCTTACCATGTTTTTTCCTCTGAAATGCATTTTGACTATTTCTTTGAGCATGCCAAGGGTATATTCAATATCCTTCCCAATACCACACTTTGAATACTTCCAGCTCCTTTTTCATTGTCCAGTTGCATGTGGTAGAAAGTCATTACCCCTGAAGAGGTAACGTTTTACTTTGTGTAATCCCTGGATAAAATTGGTCCCTCTGCAGTTCCTATTGTAGATAATTCATGTAGCTGCCCTCATACAATATTTGCCCTTTTGTGCCTGACTTTTTCACTCAGCATTGTCTTTTCAAGCTTCATTCATGCCACAGCAAATGTCAGCAACTCACTTCTCTTCTCTGTGGTTCTCTTTTCTGTGTAATATTCCCGTGTGGTGGTGCTAGGTGCCATCGCATTGAGTAGGACTCTTAGTGACCCTATGAACAACAGATCTGAACTGTGTCTTATCTTGTGTCAGCCTCACAGTTTCTGACACACTCAAGTCCATTGCTGAAGTTACTGTGTCATTCTACCTGGTTGAAGGTCTTTCTTTCGCTCTCCCTCCCCCACCTTTCCAGGAGTGATGCCCTTTTCCAAGTATTTATTGTTTTAATCTGCAGTGTAGCCGGGTCACGTTCATATATCGTATCTCTGACGTCTGGGGCAGTCTCTTTGGTCAGATTAACTGGCCATTTCCTTCTAACAATATTTGCCTTTTCATCCTTTGAGCAGCATCCTGGTGGGGAAGAAGTCTTACGGGAGCAAGCGGGTGGAGATGCTACTGAGAACTTCGAGGACGTTGGGCACTCCACAGATGCTCGGGAGATGTCCAAGGCGTACATCATCGGGGAGGTTCACCCTGTAAGTATCTTTCTGGAGAACTTTTCTTACTTATTTTTGAGCCTGTTGGTTAACCTTGCCTAAGACAGACTGACATATATATGAAGATCGAAAAGAAGAATAAAAACACTCCTCTTGAATTTGGAACATTATTCATTTTTTCATAGATTGAGCAGAAATTTCTTTGACTGATGCATTGGTTGTGTTTTACTGGTGGAATCCCCCGGCCCCACGCCTGTGTTGGGGCAGGTTGCGTGGTGGCCCATTCCAGAAGGCTAGGGGGATAGCAGCTTTTATTGCAGTGTTTCCCTTATGCAACCATTTTCCACTTGCATGAGCTTAGAGATATTTTAGTACTAAATGATCTTAAAATTTTTAAAATAAGTTTTGTTGCCTGAACAAGTTCTGTTATTTGTAGAACCTAGCCACACATAGTCTACCTTTTTCCTGCTTTACTTGGGATTTTTTTTTTAAATAAAACTTTTTCTTTTAATTGTCCTTTTAACAAAAGTTTATTAAAAAGTTGAATTTTCATTCATTCATTGTTGCACATTTTACCCCCTCTCCGTCCCTTCCCCCTCCCCAAGCTGACTTTTTTTTACTATTTTATTTACAAAATTCTAATACAAATTCAAACAAATTCTTTGAATTTCCCTCATCCATCCCCCATCAAATTGTACAACCCAATGATTAATCCCCTCTTCCCCCTGCACATCCACATCCCTCTGCTTCCAGCCTCTCCCACCCCTCCTGGATCCTTATATTGCTTTTACAATAACGGTCTTATACAATATTTATCCTTATGGGACTGAGTTAGTTCACTCAGCATAATGCTCTCCAGTCCCTCAATTTGGGATTTTTTTATAACATGTCTTTGGTATTGATTCATGCGCTAGCTTTTGGGAAATATTGAGCTGTTTTAGATTTTTTGTGGCCACAGCTTTCCTCTGCCCGTAGGCCCTTCTGCGGAACCTCCCTAGTCTTGTTAACTTTGCTTATCAGGAACACACCCTTTCCCCACTAATGACAGGTGAGGTTCCAAAGACTAGATCATTGTATAAATGGAAACATGAGGGATGTCACATGAGATCACAAAACGGAGGACAGCTTTACCATCAGGTAACTTCAGAGCCACTGAGAATCCCGGCCCCGCCACGCTGACACGCAGCCTCAACCTCCCAGCCAGCGTCACTCACTCTGCTGGCCTCTCAGTGTGTACCCCTGCTCTGTGCTTGTTGACAGTGCACTGCATGGCCCGATGCAGACTATTTTACCGTGGCCATAAATGTGAAATGTTGGCTAATGAGATGGTTGATACATGAGGAGTAAGTAGACAGCCCAAAACCTCACAAGGACCTAGGTGACTGTTCAGTGCCTGCAAGGTGGATGAACAGGTGGGCCCCATGGTCCTGTCCGCTCTCCCTGGCCACCACTATGACACGTGGGTGGTGAGGAACAAGCCCACAGGGACTTAAAGAGCTGCTGGAGAGAAGCAGACCACCTTCACAGACCGAGAAGCCCATGGCAGAAGTCACGTAGCCTGTTGTGGACGGCCAGGAAATGGGAAGCTATTTTAGAATGACTTCATTGGGAGGAATTCGGTTCCCCCCACCTCCTTTGGGGGCTGGGGGCAGGGAAGGGATGCTGCTTTGAGACGCTGCTAGAAAGAAGCATTTGCCCAGACATCTGCATTTCCAGCACTGGATAGCCATGGTGTAGTGGTCATCAGAGGCCTGCCCTTAAAGTTGTTAAAACATGTTCCCTTCCAGAGCCTGGGGTTTTCTGGCCCCGGCGCAGTTAATTCTGCTGGACTCGCCTGCAGCGGGTTCGCCTTTGTCCCACTTGATTAGAGGATAAGACGCTCATTGTCTCGTCATCAGGAGACAGACTGAGGATTCTCTGAGGCGATCACACGAAGGAGCGGGATTGTGAAGGGAAAGGGGAGTATCTGGGGATCAGAGGCTCCATGGAATGCACGATCCCCTCCGAGTGTAGGAACTGTGGGTGCGTGCCAGCAGCAGTCACGACACTGGCTCTGCAGAGGGGCTGTAAAGGGAAAGGGCCCCTTAATCCCAGACAGATCAGAGCCCGTGGACTCAGATGGCTCATTGGAGGTTTTGTTTGTTTTAAAATCTCCTAAGAAGGAAGCTCTTAAAGCATGGTACACTGTGTGATATGATTTCATTCTTTAACATGCACTCTTTTTTTCCTTTTTGCAGGATGACAGATCAAAGCTAGTCAAGCCTTCGGTAAGTGACCCTCTCCACTGTCTCCATGGCTGTAGGTATCATTGCATTGTATTTTATACATGTCACACTGGGGCCAGAGGTAATACAAGGTTTCATCTACTTAGCTGAGGCCCGCCCCCTTTTATTGTGCTACAAGAAGTATGTTACCTTTTGGGCCAATAAAATGTTTTAATTGAGTAGAGCAGTTAGTATATTTTATTTGGATAGCTTGTATGTTGTCTTCGTGGGATTTTCAGTACTTACAACACTTACTGTTAGCAGTGAATGCCTTTTGAATAGCGATTGTGCTCTTTATCTGGGTGTTCTCACTCAGTCCTTATTTTCAAAAAACTTAAAAATATCTGATTGGTAAAGGTCTCACTGTATACTTTTTTGATGACACCACCATGTCTTCACCTTTATGTCTCAAGAACACAGTAGATGTTCAGTAAATACTTGCTGGACAAAGGTAATGAGAATGAAAAGAAATAATAACTTTTTTATGTGTTTCCCTTGGGAGAAGGAAATCATTCTGGAAATAGTAACACTAAACATTTTAGTGGACCAGCTCTTTATTGTCTGTCCATCTCACTTCTGTCTGAAGGTAAATCCATAGAAAGGATTGGTGACATGGTCAGAAGGGATTGGCCAGGGTGTCTGGAAATGACAAGTAGTTTTGCTCAGGACAGACAGCAGTGGGAACGTGCCGTTTTCATGTTTCCACTTAGGGTTTTGGTTTTGTTAGAGCACATGTAACAGAAAGGCTGCACTGAGCGGGCAATGTTAACGCCCGACCTCCCGACCTCACTTCACCAGCAGCTGCTGCTGACAAGACATTATCTTTAAGGTAGAGCAGAGGCTAAGCAATCATTGCAGTCTTTTCACTGTCAAGGTCATGTCTGCCCCGACAGTGCTGTGAAAGCCTCGTGCAGCGCTGCTTTTCCTGTGAAGGGAGTGCAGCCTCTCTGTTGTCAGCTCCTCAGACACATGACAGATGAACTGTCAGGTGCCTCAGCGGCAGTAGCTCTGAACCCTTGCTGTCAGTTCGCCTGACCTCAGAGGTTTTGGGGTGCTCTTTGAACAGCTGAGGTTCTGTACTGGATGCAGGTGTGCTGGTTCCTTGTAGTGTGTCATGGAAGACATGTACTTCTCCTCTCGGGTCTGGAGTGCACTAACAACTGTGGTGTGAGTTATCTAATCCTAGTTGTAAAGGGTGCTGTGGATAGCCCAGGTGTGAATTTGAACCTACAGCATGTCTCTAACCATCAGGACCAGAGTCGGAAAGTGCCGTTGAAGAGAGATGAGGCCTAAGGGGTCAGTCTTGGCGTGATGGCCCCTTTGTTGAAATGCAGAGCCTCTTTGTTGAGTTTGGGAACTTGTGCGTGATAACTCACACAGCATACCAGGCCAGTGCAGCCTGCTAGACCGTTTCCTGCCTGTGTGTCATTTTCTGACATGAGTGCTGTTCCCTTGCACGCTCTGGATCTTTTGGAGACAGCGTGTCCCATGTTGAACGTGACCTTTGCTCCCCACCTGAGGAGAGCTTGCCTGGCTCTGGAGAAGACTGTGCTGTGTCGCTGCGTCCAGGGACGTTACTCTCAGACGGCGTATCTTTTGCAGGAAATACCGAGTCACCTTGCTGACCCTGAAGATGACAGCAGTTCTAAGAATTGTGCTAACTTTTCAGCACAGATGATTTTAACTCTTGAGGAACTTTACAAACTGATCCACCCTGGGAGTGTTTCCTTTCTCGTCAGCTTTGTATTGTGATTTGAGCGACAGTTTGCAGAACAGATTGACTTCCTATTCATACATATTTTGACCCAGATCACACACATTGTAACAGAACGCTTTCCACTTCCTCCCAGTAACTGAGTGTCCAACATGGTTCTTCCTCTGTTGTGTCTTTGCCTAATTCAAGCCAAGTGGAGGAAAGTGAGACCAGGACTTAACTGTTTTTCTTAGAGATGCAAGAGCCCAAATGAGCATTCTCTGAACTTGTCTTTCCTGTGCTGCCAGTTTAGCAGAGGACAGTCCTGTCCGTCGGCAGTTCTTTTGTTGTGTGTGAATATGTCTGTGCCCACTCTTGCTATGTTTCAGAGGGCTGGACAGTGACTACAGCTGATAGATGAATCGAAGCCTTTGAATTGTGGTGCTAGAGAAGAGTATTGAATATACCAGGGACTGCTAAGAGAACAGGGCCATCCCAGAGAGGGTGAGACCAGGCTGCTCCTTTGACGCAAGGATTTTGAAGCTCTTTCTGACATACTTTGGGCATGTTGCCAGGAGGGACCTTGGAGAAGGATATCATGCTTAGAAGGGTGGAGGGACAGTGCAAGAGAGGAAGACCCCAGATGAGATGGATTGATTCAGTGACTAAGGTAATGGGAGCGGGTATTGTCAGACACAATGAAATTGGCTCAAGATAGAGCAGGTCAGAGCTGTTGTACGTAGGGTTGCTGTGAGCCACAAGCAACTCAGTGGCACATAACAACCATAAACAATGACAAAGACTCATCTGTCTGCAGACAGACCTCTGCCCACTACTCATGATTCTTGCAATACTGACCATAAAAAGCCTCCTTGCCGTTAAGCTGATTTTGACTCTGAACGCCCATGCTCTGGGTGTCCATGGCTGTCACCCTCAGCGGGAGAAGGTGGCCCATCTTTCTCCTACAGGCTGCGGCTGAGAAATTGAGCTCACTTATGAAATGAGACCCACCAGAAAGACCAGCAGGACAGCGTCTCAAGCCTAGCCTCAGGCTGCTGATTTAAAGGGACTTTCATGGATATGTGCAGTTAACATTTTAACTGTTTTAATGCAAATAACATGCATTCTACATTCCCTGCACCCAAAGGTATTTTCAAAATTGTTACTATTCCATTTTTTTTAAACTGGAACATAAAAAATTAAAAGCACATCAAATTAACAAAAATATGAGGTGGGGGTGGGCAGGTGGCAAACAAACATAGATGGCATGTGTTATTTGCACCTCACAGTGTGACAGTGAGACAAGCTCACAGTTCTCCCCGGAGGTTGTTAGACCCCCAGTGGCTTTTGTGTGCTGGCAGGTGTCAAAGTCAACATCTCGTGAGACAGGTCCCCTACTCTGTGACAAATCACGCTGAGTGTCTGTGCAAAGCCACACACCCACTGCCAGGCCTGACAGCTGAAGGTTGCAGAGTGATGACTGATGGGAGCCCGTCATCCCAGCAGGAGTGTTTTACTAGAGAACATCTTTCAAACAAGGAACGGACAGAGCAGGGACAAGGGTGGCAAAGGCCATGGCTGGCTGCCAGCAGCTTGCAGGGTTTACATGTGTCTGAGTAGAGTTCATCATTTACTCAACTCTTGGCCTTTCCCTAGTAGACGTGCCATTCCCTCAAGGTCACACAGTGGACAAATGGCCAAGTCTTCGCCCTGTTCATTGTTGGTGTGTTTGGTAGTTGCACAGACTCTTCCACCCCTGGGCACCACTGACTGTTTCCTTGTAGATAAAAATAGTACCAGATGTATGCGATTTCGCGTTGGTTTGCTTTTTAAAGTTCATGTCACCTCCTCAGAAGATCATGGGGGTGGGGGTGGAGGTAGTGGTGGTCATGGCAGTGCTGGTTGTGGTGATGGGAGTGGTGGTAGTAGCTGTGGTGGAAGTGGAGGCGGTGGTGGTCACAGCCCTGCTGGTGGTGGTGTGTTCAGCACGGCATTGGTGTCAGTGTTCGTGGATACTATAATAAAGAAGGAAGATGGGGCAGGTGAGCCTCCGTGGGAAGACGTCTGCACGTCTGGTGAGCAGAGAGCATGCCCTGTCTGATCCCTATTTACTTTTCTAAGTCAGACTTGTAAGATTCCATTTGCCATCGAATCGGCCCTGTCTGTCCCTCCACAGAGTTTTCATTGGCTGCTGTTGGGTGTTGTTTGGCTTGTTTTCTTTTGACAGTGTCACTGTGCCGCTCCCTGCGGACCTCTGGATGAACGTGAACTTGCAGCCAAGTGTCAGCCATCTGCACTGGCCAGGAGCTCTCCTGGCTTTCTGGTGTGGTGATATATTTACCTCAGCCAGCACTCTCAGGCTGCTCTTTTGCTTCTTCTAACAACAGAATAATACATTTTTATTCTTTCTAGTGGTGTCTATCTATTTGATTTTATCTGAGTAAAAGTTAAAAAATAACCATTAAGAAGTTGCGCATGTTTCTTTCAGGACTCTAAGATTTAACACTGGTAAGAAGGACAATAAGTGATTTCTTTTTCATTGACCTATTTCTCTCCCCTACCGTGTCAGGAAGCCTAGAGGTGACATCCAAGGTTGGTGGGCTCCCAGCTGCTTCGCCCGCTCCCCATCCCACCTCGCCTCCCATTCGCTGAGATCCAGGCGCTTTACGAGTGTCGCTTTGCCCCCTGCAGACAGCCGCTGGCTTGGCTCTGGCACTCAGCAGAGACGGGGCTCCCAGGCCCTTACGCTGCCCTCTCCGTCCTCTGTTTGAAGCACTGCTAACACTTTGGCTGGTGTGACATTTCACAAAATGCTTCTAACATGTGTTTGAGCTGGGGTCGGCTCGCCTTCTCCAGTCCTCCCACTGAGTGTTAGGGAAGCGTGTGTTTTTCCAAGTCAGTTTTTAGTCTCTTTGCTGGCACAGCGAGCAGAGCGTGTCTGAGGTCCTGAAAGTGAAGCAGCCCCGGCTGGAAGGTGCAGTGGTCCAGCGCTGCCTCTGGAGGGACGTCTGGTGGCACTTCTGGTGGCCCGCCGTGTGAGGTCCTAGGCCGACCATCACAGGGCGTGGCATCTCACCAGGGCTGCAATGCCGAGTTCAAGGACCCCAGGGAAGTGGTCACAGGGTGACAGCTGTGAACCACAGCCCTTGCTGCTTGCCTTTTCTGACCATTGACATGTCTTCTAATGGAGTCCAGGCACTGTCACTGCCCAGGGGGTTGAAAGGAGGCCCAAGCTGTTTCCCTGGAGCATCCAGAGACAGAGCCCCCTAGGACGGCGCTGGGGCCTGCGCGGGGGTCAGAGTCTGTGCCGGCGCCTGTTAGGGGCTCTGTCTTGACTATGATATACTAATGTTTACATTTCTCCCAAGTCACCAAGGTGAAGTATTGCTGTTAAGTCCTTTAAACACTGAGACTTCTTTAAAAATTTTCTTCATAAAAATTATGAAATTAGTGTTTTAGTGACACGAGTGTAACTAAAATAATGAAGTATTTTTCATTATTTTAGTCATGAAGTAATTTTCCCTTGCATTTTTTTTTTTTGCAGAAAAAAGTACAGTAAAAAAATAAAGCTTTGGGATCTTTTTTTAAGGTCAATTGACCACACGTTCAGACTTTCCCTTTAACCTTGTGGTTTCTTCTGTCTTTCAGGAAACTCTTATTACCACCATTGACTCGAATTCCAGGTATGTGGAGTGTTTCCGTTTAAAAAGCCATTAGTTTGGAAGGTCAGATTGGACTGAGGCCCTCGGCCGACCACGGCACCTGTTGCTTGTTGGGGTCAGGAGATGTCCACAGCCCAGGTCTTGGCCAGTCTCATGAGCACTTGCTCCATCAAACTGCCAGGCCTCCCCCATCGCAGTGCCCCAAGGAAAGTGTTGGGGAAACCACACCTCCCTGCCCTGCGTGTCCTCCACGTAGCGTCTTGCCTGTGCCCCATCCTTTCCATCCACACTCACGCCCGCCTTCCCTCCTCCTCTCCTATGGGCTAAGGGTCTTAGATTGCTGTGATGACATTTCCCTTTCAAAACTTTGTGCCTTTTATAAGCTGGCCTGATGACAATACACAGTAGTGGCAGATAGTACTGTCACAGGTGTAGATACTAGGTTTGGCTGGCGTAGGCCCTGCCCCTGGACATCTGTGACTGCTTTTGACCCAAGCGTTTGGCCCTGTCCACAGCCATCATGCAGGACTTCCCCTTACTTCACCCAGACAGTGGGACTTATTTCTAAAGAAACTAGAAAATTCCAACAGACCATACTGAAATGAAAATGACACTTGTAATCCTTCTGAAATTGAGTGTGATGTTTATTTTGAGAGGTTGTATGAAAAGTATTAAAGGTTGAGGAGTTTGTGGCAAAAATTATGTACCTATCTGCCTTTATTTGGATTCTAAAACCAGTGCATTAATTTCTCTTTAGTAAGAAATGATAGGTTCAAATACCTGTCCTTGATAAACCCACCACTGATAACAGTTCAAAATTCTGTGTCCCAGGACCAAACCAAATTAGGGATTTTTGTGACTCTAGGTTGTTGGGCTGTGGCCAGGTGGCATGGGGATGCCATTTCTTAGTGCTTTGAGTCTACGACACAGAGATACTAAAGCCAGTATTGAAAACCAAAACCCCAGAGCCACTGTCATTGACCGGTGCGACTCTGAGCGACCCCACCTTCTGCTGAGTATCCTGGGCTCTGAACGTCTGAGATGATGGCCCGCCTCTCCCACGGAATGCTTGCTGGGTTCATGCTGCCAGCCTTTTGGTTAGCCGCTACACCACTGGGGTGTCTTGGTTAAAGGCCGCCTCCTGAAAGTTTAAGACAGGACAGTAATCTATGACAAATCGTTTTCCTCGGGAAACTCGGGGGTCAAGCTCAGGTGTCATGATCCACTGTGACCGTGGCTCACAGCTCAGCATGCAAGCTGGTGTGGCTGCCGGCCGAGCTCACCAGATCGAGCACCTCGGTACCCCTCAGTCTAGCACCGGCCAGTTCTTAGTATATGCAAACCACGTCAAGTGTGCTCAGGGGATTCCTTTTCATTAACTTGGGATCAAACTCAGTGTTGAGAACCAAAGGTTGGTGGTTCTAGCTGCTCTGAGGAAGAAAGCTAAGCAGCTCCTGTGAGGTTTAGAGCCTTGGAAACTCACTGAGGGTCACTGAGAGTCGAAATCACATCGATGGCACTGGTTTTGTCTCTGGGGTTTTAGTTAAGACACTACTCATAGATAGTGCCTTTGGGAAGTGAATCTTGGTTCTGTGTCATTTCTAGAAATGGGTCTTGGCGGATGGGCGGTCATTGGTATCGTATCTTGGCTCAGGCTAGCGCAGGTGCCAGGAGCGTAGGGCAGTCTCCAGGCATGTCACTTCTAGCAGCTCTGTGGGGTGAGAGGTCTCGAGAGTGTCTTTCCAGGGGTTCAAGCGCTCCGAGCCCCGGCCTCACCTCCCTCCGTGCACGCGCTCTCTCCGCAGTTGGTGGACCAATTGGGTGATCCCAGCCATCTCCGCGCTGGCCGTGGCCCTGATGTACCACTTCTACACAGCAGACTAATGCCTCTCGGATGCCGGGGGAGCCGGCCCAAGGAGCCTGGGCAGCATCCGCTGGGACAGCAGACGTCCTCTGAGGGTGATGGTGCCGCAGCTGCTCCCTTTCTCCTCCAGTGCACACGGAAGCCGTCCTGTTCAGCCCCCTCTGGACTTCCCTCTACAGTGCCTTCTCTCTCCCAGCGTTCTGTCCATGTTTCTCACTGCATAATTCAGTTCTTGAGCTAAGCCTGACCCTTCTCAATTACATATCCCACCAAGCTTGCCTCTCCGCCTGGCATGTCGTGTCCTTGTTTTTGGTGTTCGGGACCCTGGTCCTGTAGCAAGGTCGCTAGTCTACTGACTAGTCCTTCAGTCACGTGGCAGAGGAGGGAGAAGTCTTCGTGTCTCTCCTGCACATTTTCATTCCTTATCAAAGACCAGGTACCTCGTGTTTTCCATTGTGCTGTCTGCACCAAAGAACTTAAGAAATGCCCAGGATGACAGCTCAGAGGTTCCTAATCACCTGTCCCTGAAGCAGAAATCCTGCAGGACCCAGAAAAGAGACCCTCTCCCCCTGATTAGAACACTAATGACATAAACACGTCTGTGAGCTCGGAGAACCACGCACGCCTTCTCTCAGCTGGAAGCTAGCCTTCCGCAGAGCTGCTCAGTTCTGTGTGTACTCTCCACTTGTAAATGCAGAACCGTGAGGGAGGGAATGGTTCGTTTGGAATCTGACCTCTGACAGAAGCCACTGCCGAGGCCCCGTCCCTGAGTCCACTCAGCTGTTCACCTCTCACACACTGTTCACACTGGGCCCTGGTCATTTGGTCTCCCGCTTACCATCCTCTGTTCCATCCCTTCTTGCTTTTGAACAGGGAAACTTGAGAGATGGATTTTTCAGACTCCAGTGAACTGCACTGATTCCTGTGGCATGTTGGCCACCTGAGCAGTGGGGTCTTCAGAGATGGCTTAACTCTGGGACCCAGAATTTTGTTTTCTTATTACAGAGAATAGATTTTTATCATCAACAATGTGCATCCACCCCTCCGCCTCCTCTGTCACCTGAAGTGAATGTGGGCACAAGGGCTGGGGAGGAGACTGTATTGCACGGGGAGAATGAGCCTACAAAAAAATCCTCTGTTTGGACTTTAATAAACATACACCTGAAACAAATGATGCCTCTAATAATGGATTAGAAGCAACAGCTTATGAGTTTTATTCATCAGCGTGAACACTCAGCAGTGCTAACATGTGCAGCTATTACACACATTTAATGACCAACTAGGAAAAAAAGGTACCAGCTAACTGCTAAAAACAACGTGTGTGTGTGTGTGTGTGTGAGTGTGTGTGTGAGTGTGTGAGTGAGAGAGAGATTACACTGAGGTGACATGACATAGCAAACTGTTTTACAGGGGACTGTTCAGTGACGTTTAGCTTATCAACAGATGTTGTGCAAGCACTGTCTGAACGATTTCTTCACTCAGGAGGAACATACTGCTTGTTATTTGGTTTGGTAACTATTTTTGTAACCGAGTGTTTGCCATTTCACCGTTTTGATGCCCATAATGCAGTGGTGTTGCTTCTCTCCAGCACATTGTACACATGACCACCTCCTGATTCCAGATTTCCTTCACCTTTAACAGAAACTCATAAATGACCCCTCCTCCTCCCTCTGACCCCCGCTGGGTGCTGTGCAGTCTGCTGTGAACCCATATGGCAGAGCTGCCTCACAGGGTCTTCTAGGCTGTGCTTGAGAAGTTTGTTCCTCATTCAGAACCACTGGCGAGCTTGAACCTTCAACCTTTTGATGGCAGTTAGGCACTTCTTTGTGCTAGTCACAGGAACCGTTTGTGACTCCAGTCTCTAATTTACCCATTCTAGACCTTTTTAAATACTCCAATGTCTGTCCCCAAACCCCAAGAGGCACCCTTGTAGCAGCCAGTAAATGGGGTCTCAAGCATTGGGCGAGGGGTGTATAAACACCCTCCAAAACTTAGAAGACCCACAAAGACCTGACTTGGCATCCTCAGAGTGGAGTAAGCTTATATCCCCCCCAACGACAGCTTCAAGCAACATGCAGGTCTTAGCCGACTGTTGTCTCAAGCCCCTGCACCTTCTTGGGGATCCATGAGTCCTATTACAGAGAACTAGCTTCAGCGGTTAACATGGTATCGTTAGTTAAGGGAATAAAGTAGTAGGGAAAGGAAGCAGGTTCTTAGCAGCCAGATCTTGGACATCATCTGGGCAACACGTGCTGTCTGGTGCTCACCGTTCGGTGTCTAGTAGTGGGGGCAGGCCACGGGTTTCTAAGCCACAGTCTCCCTCAGAACTGCCTTCATTACCATCACCAGTCGTTCTTTCACAGACATCAGCGTGAGCCTCTCCACTTCTAGAATGTACCCCGGGGTTGGAGAAGTGTAAACGTGATAGGATTTAGGGAGTACTCCCTCTTTGTCAGATCAGGAATGTGACAGATGGGCATAGGTTTTTGTCATACATGCAGCTGAAGTCAGTTGGGATATAGAGACGAGGGCGCATTCTGCCCCAGGATCAAGCCTAGCTAACGTCACTAAGGGCTTCTGCCACCAGTGTGTCCCAGCGGGAGGTCAGACCACCGGTAAAACCTTTGCTTTCCTTCCTCTTGTCAAGAATTCATTTGTTATCATGTTGAAGTTAATTTGTGCAGATGTTGACCCTGTCTTGGTGCTGACCTGGAGTTCCTTCAAAGTTAAGGTGAAGGGTGGGGTGAGCAGGTGGGCAGGCCCCTTCCCTTCGTCCCACATAGGCAAGCTCTCTACCAATGGCGCCACACACCCACGTATCACTCAGCTCGTGCTGACCTCACAGCCACCACTGGAAACATCCCAACGCGAAGAAGCCATTCGTTTCTTGATACGGAAAACAGAACATTTAGTGTGATGTCAAAGGAATTGTGCAGTATTCGTTGATAGAGATCAAATTTGCCTTGGGAACCGCCTACAAATTGGCATTCCTGACTACCAACTGGGAAATCTGATATGGATAAAAAGGTTATACGTAGTACCCTACCCTTTTATGCAGCCAACAAGTAAGTGCCAAGCCCACTGCTGCCTTGGTTCCCGGGTTGTGGGCACAGCCCACTGTACTTGGTGTTGGTTGTGTTACCAGGCCGACTCGAGTCAGCAGCCTCCTGGGTGACAGAAGGAATCAGCTCCCAGGCCTGCGGGTCCTCACGGTCACGCCTGCGTTCACTGTCTGCCCCTCACATTGAGGGTCCTCTTTTACTGCCCCTCCACCTTTCTGAAGGAAAGCACAATGCCCTCCAGGCACTGAGCCCTCCTGGTAACACGTCTGCTACATGAGATGAGGTCTCACCTGCCTTCCCTGTAAGGAACAATCTAGGAGCATTTCTTCCAGGACAGATTTGTTTGATCCTGTGGCAGTCCTGGTGTATCCAGTATTCTTGGCCAACACTATAGTGCAAATGTGTTCATTCTGAGGTCTTCCTTGTTTGTTGTGGACACAAAACCAAATTATGATACCGTAACAAACACACTGTAGCAGCATGCTTCCTGCTTCTTCCTTCTGCCCTATCCTTCTCTCTGAGACTTCTCTCTGGGCAAATACTGCCCTCAGCATTTTGTATGAGGAAACTTTAGTGACCTGGTGGATAAAGAGTTGCAGGACCAAACCAAAGGCAGGTGATTTGAATCCACTAGTTGCTCCGAGGGAGAAATGTGGGCCGTCTGTGTGAGTTACCACCTCTGAGCGCCTGCTGGAGACTCGGCTATGAATTGCCTCCAACTCCACATCACAGAGCAGCAATGACCTTGTCGGAGTGATGGTTCAAAGGAGTGAGTACCTCTCTGGTGGTTTTTTTTTAATCTTACATACTTGACCCTTGTCTGGCTGAGAGTTGAGCCATGGAGGTGGTTCCAGGTTCCAAAAGTTGCAAAGGACAGGGAGTCTCGGGTTCTACCACTCTCTCTCAGCCTCAGATTAGTAAGTCTTGTCCTTTTTGTGGTGTTGAGTTCTCTCCCACTCCGTCCAGAACCCTCTACTAGGATCCTTTTAAGAGCAGTACTCGATGGTAGTAGGTACCATAGCGTTTCTCTGGCTTCAGGGTAATGGAGATGGAATTGTTTCTAAGAATCTGATTTTCCTGACTCTTGTTTGTGGGAGCAGGGAGAAAGCCGTAGCTGCCTCTCGGATGACTGCTTGGCAAAATGACGCTCTGGACAACTTCAGTCTTCTCCTGTTTCTTACTCATCCGGTTGTGAGGGTTTTCATTTTCTTCATGGTGAGGCATAATCTGTTTGTTCTGTAGGCTGTATCATTGACCTTCATCATTAAGTGCTTCAGTCCTTGACTTTCTGAACTTGATAGGGATCAGAAAATAGTGCCTGTCCCTCGGATGACGGCAAAGATGATGATAGATATCCTTGGCGCAGTAAAGTCTCCACAGGTGCTTTGGAAGGTCCCAGTTAATAATGTGTGTGCATTGTTAGGTGCTGTCCAGTGTGCTGTGACCCCGTGTCCAACAGATCAAAGCCTAAATCTGCCCCATCCCCACGATCTCTGTTGTGCGGAAGCTCATTGTTGCCATTACCGTGTCAGTCTGTTTCACTGAGGGTCTTCTCCTCTGCTCTCTGCTTTTCAAACATGATGTACCTTTCTAAGGACTAACTGCTCTTGGTAAAATGTCCTAAGTATGTAAGATGAAGTCTTAGAATCCTTAAGCAGCACTCTGAGTACACCTCTTCGAAGACAAGTCATTTATTTCAATGAAAGTATAAAAAGGAATAGGTAGACCATAGGACCAGAACCCCTGGAGTCTTGTCAAGTCTCTGAGCTCATGGACATGACTTGACCTGTTCTTGGCCTGGGATGGTGGTGATGCCACATGGAGTTTCTGCAGATGAGACTGTGGTGCCTGACAGCCACTGATGAGCCTTCTCCTCAGCTCAGGGTTCCTGCTCACCCCTTAAAAAGAGTGCCAATTCGATAGGCTAAGGCCTGGTTTTACCAGGGCCGCAGACACTG